ATGTATAAAGTATTGATCTGGTTAAGTTGCTAACTAAGATGCATAAATATATATGAATATGAGAAAGTGAATTGTGTTGTGAAAACTTACTTGTATATATATATATATATATATGGCATTGCATTATGCTGAGGGTGCCCTAGTGGAGGGTAGGTGGGTAGGCCTGAATGTGAAACAAGCAAATATATATATTTTTTATAACTTGTTCTATTTGTTTATATGTGAATTTATGTAATGATTATGTGTTGAATGTGAGTTGTGTAAATATGTGGGAACTTCACACAAATGGTAAGGTAAAGCTCCATTTAGAAGAATCGAGTACATATATGATTCATAACTATATGGTAAGGCGGAGCCACATATGTAAGAGTCGGAGGGTTGAAAGTGAAACAAGTCTAGTTGTATATGTGAATATGTGTTGTATATGTGTATTCCTCATATAAGTTCACAATTGTGTAATGTGGCTTTGAGAGGCTAAAATAGACAAACGATGTGATATTAGTGTTATGTATTGTCAATCAGGTATATGTGATCATTTTTGACTTAGTTCAAAGCCCAAAGTGGTCTATTGGGATAATGAATAAGAATTAAGCATTTAGAGTGTCAGTTTTGAAAGAAATAGCGACTTTTTGCACCTGGTGTCCAATTTTAGATTGGACCATCATATCAAGTTAAAACTTATTTCATTAGTTAGTATACATTATAATCTTCACGTAGGCACTTAAGTAACTCTAATCAGACATCGAATGTGAAAACTATGCACGCCGAAAGTTCATCATTTTTGCTGATAAATGACAATAGAAAATCCAGACTAGTGTGCTGTAGCTCATGGTGTCTTATACCACAGTGCATGACATAGATAGTCAGGCATGTGGCTCTGTGTCATATGCTGTGGTGCATGCATTGTCCGCCGTGGCTCATGACCCTTTTTCAGGGTTGAGAATTTATGCCTCTTTTAGTCGTATAAATGCGTTTACAGTTCCACTAGCCTTCTTATTTGAATATATATTTTAAAAAGTTGGAATCTCATGATTTGAAAACAAATAAAGGGCTATTACTATGATATTATTATTTTTTATGTTGGTTGATTATGTGATGGGAATGGTAAAGCCTAAATTTATTCAGGACTTTATAATATGCAACTGTATAGATTAGGTAAAACTTGGTTACTGAATGGTTGTGCTCATCCCTTAATTCTCAATATTTTCAGAACCTAACTCATCGGATCCAATTTAGGGAAAACACATTGAGTCGTAGAATTGTGATGAAATCCTACTTTTATACCTCTTTACTCTATTTTTGTATATTAATGTTGTATAATTACCAACTAGGATCACATGTCATTATTTTGTACTATTTGCATTATTATAGTGTACAACTTGTGTATTTTGTGCCCCAGATTAGTAAGTTTTAGTTGTAAACTTGTGGATAAAGCCAAAATACTTGTGCAAGTAGGAACATGTATTTTTTTGAGAGAATTGCAATGAAAAGGATGGTTTTATGCATGATTTTCCTCTCCCTTGTGTTTTATGAAAATTAAGGTTGAATAGTAATTTTGAGAAATATATGTTTTTAGTCATGTATGGTGTGTTGCATGAGTCTGCTAGAATCCATCAAGTGTAATTGAAGGGTTGATGTAGGCTTTTAACACTTGTGATTGAGTTGGGACATCATTAATGTGAGATTTTTGTGAAAAAGTGATAAAATGGGTTTTGGTGTCCAACTTTTTGTAAAAAAAAAAATTGAGTATGAAACCTATGCCATTAGATAGAGCTAGAAGAAAGCTCCATGTGGGCATCAAAATCACCTCAATTGAACGTCAGACGAAGATTTGAGATTCGTCAAAAGTTCACTCCTACTGTTGTTAAATGACAGTAGTTGTTGCTGTCAAATTCGTAAAATGAGCTACAGTGTATGGTACAGAGGTGGGTGAGCCGTGGCACATATACCATAAGTCGCGGCGCATGGGTTGTTTTCTATATAAAACACTATTTTGAGTTTTGAAACTCATTGCTTTGGGTCCCATAGAATATTTAAGCTTCCGCCTTGTTTTAAAACTATGATTTGAGTATTTCAAATGTTTGTTTGAGATTGAAGATATTGAATTTTGAGATCTACTGTAAATGATTTGAAAATTTTTTCTTTTTTATGTAATTTTACAACTTTAGTAATCCTTTAATTATCTTAGTTATGGAGTTAAATGTGATTAAGTAAGGGAAACCTTACAGTAGGCATAACTTCTTCCACTGATCGTATAGCATATCAATTCTCAAAATCTGTTTGAGAATTGTCTTTTGGGCTTCTAAAAATACCGGGGAGATTTCATCCTCTTCCTTAAGCCAACTCTGAAATAAAGCTTTGAAGTCTTCTTCCACATCCATGCAGTCTTTTTCAATCAGTATATCTCTAATAGAAACTTGGGACCATGTTTTCTTAATTCTGCTGCCTTCAGGATGAGTCTGTATTTCCTCTATCCTATCCATTTTCCCATTAGTGTAATGATGTGCTTTATTCACACTCCGGGCAATCGCATCTTCTTCATCCTTGGATAAACCTTGACTGTCTTCAACCACCCCTTTGACCGACGTGAACACACTACCAGCTTTCGAACTCCCACATGAACTCTCGCCATGCACTCCCCTCACACTCTCGCTCCCGCTCCCGCTCCCACTCATCTCTCTCTCTCTCTCTCTCTCTTCTCTCTTATTCAATTCCATACTGTTTAGTTTTTTGGTTGGACAAACGATACTGTTTAATTAGTTGATTGCTACTATTTACTAATTACTAGTACTGCCGAGTGACATCTAAAAAGGGCAATGGCGATGGAGGTTGTTTCGCGTGTCAAACATGCAACTCATACTTTTATCAAAGCAAATTTAAATTTGTAAACCTTTCTTGATCTTGCGAGGCTACCTCGGCAAGCCTATAAGATCCAAATCGTCCAATTTTTTTTTGATACAGCAAATCGTCCAAATTTTATTCTTATAATTAAAAAACAAGGTTAGCATATTTGTGTAAATAATTACTAATCACATGCGTGAGTTCGCTTGCGTGTGTTTTTATAACTAACTCTAGGGCATATGACTAATTAAAAACAGCTCAGTTTTACAAGATTTATTTGAGTATTGACTATCAATAACGTACACCAGATATTAAATTTAGATAGATGTATTAAAAATAGTGAAAAAAATCAAGGGAGTGTTGTATATATAATGAACTTTGGTAAACATGAGGAAGTCAAAGTGACCAAACACACATCATACAGCTATTTAGTTGTTATTATTATTGGATTGGACGTTGGGATCATAGTTTCCATGTTAATTTTTTTTAACTGCGAATGGATTTAAGCTTATGTTAAAAAATTATATTGGATAAAATTAAAACTAATAAATAATATAAAATAAAGAAAAAATATTTATAAATTCAAACTTTGAAGTTTCAAGTTAAGATATGTGATGTTATTCTACTACTTCTTTCTAAGCAGTCATACATTTTGGGTTGAGATATATGACACTCTTATTTATCTTTTAGTTCTCTCCCTCTGGTGGTGGCTCCTCTTCTAGCAATCCCAAATGAAGACGACTATCCTAATTTACACAGACATGCGATTGCGTAGATTGAAATCGAGGAAGTCAAAAAAAAAAAAAAAAAAAGAACGGGTTGGCGTGCTAAACTTTGAGCCTGTATGCGTGAACAAGTCCTCATTGGATTCATTATTGATCATTCACACACACACACTCCAGCATAAAAGTACCTAACCCCTTCGTATAATTTTAATTTTCTCCAGTCAACTTCTTCATGGTCCCTTCTGTTGAAATTTCTCTGGCTTTGTCCCTTCCTACTTTCCAGAACATATTCACGGTCCTCATTGTGCCATCGATCATCATCAAACACCCTTTCAAAAAATAAGCTACGGGGTTTTACTATACACTCCTTCAAGCTTTAAGTTCTAAATATAAGACCTAGTTTTAACTTAATTAAAAAGATTAAGAAAATTTATTAAGTTGGTTATTTGATATTATTGTAACAGATATGCCTTGATTTTCCAAAAATACCCTTTTACTGATAGTAATGAATGTGAGAGACATAGAAAGAGTGAAAAAAAAAAAAACTGTGTAATTAATAAGGATAATCTGAAAAGGTACTAAACGAGGGAGAGACGACCGCAAAAATTGAGGTCCTAGATTTAAGATCAAACAAAAAACTCTCAAGTCTCAACTATATGTCTTATATTTGGGATAGGGAAGTATATAATTGTATTTTACATTATCACCAAGAAAATACGTTTATTAGATACATTTATATATTCTTATTTTTTTGTATTACGAGTTTGTCATATCTTATTCAATTTTCTAAAATAAATGGACCGATTATGTGCAAAATATATTACATGATACATATACAAAATTATTAAAAATCACATATAATCATTCGAAAACAATATAAATATTTTTTTGTTTTAGCTATATTTTATTAATTTTTTAAGAAACAAGCATATATACTTAAAACACGTGTTATAGATTAATTTTTAATAGGGGATGGCTAATTGACGATCTTCCACCAAATGCGATTCCTTGATCTATTAATTTGCTTCCAGAAGGCAGAGAAAGACAAAATTTTTCGAGGCACGAGCCAGGAAGTAAACAAATTTTCAAGGCACGTGACTCTAGAATAGTAGACGATACTGAGTCTGATCGAGCCGTTACATTTTGGGCGGGTTTGATTATTTTGTTTCATCATATCGTTTTCTCGGTTACGCATTTTATTATATATAGCCATGCGTTTGAACTTGACCATAAACGATTCCAAGTTGCGGGCTTTGGCCTTTGACTTAGACTCCTGCCAATGCGCCCCTGACCAGTCTCTTACGACTGCCCGGATTCAGATTCTTCCGTTATATATTACCCTACGCTTCCATCACCATATACACACACTGCTATACATACTCACTCCAAATCACACACTTGGCCAAATATTATATGCTGAGACCAGAAAGAGAGATGGAAAGTAGTGGGAAGCGTGAAGGTGTGAAGATAGTTCAGATTGAAACCAGGTACGTCCAAACCGATGCTATGAACTTCAGAGACGTGGTTCAGAGTCTCACGGGGAAGAACTCATCCACGGCGTGGGTAGGGGACGGCTCGAAGAAATTGCCACTCGCTGCTTCGCTGAAATCAGACGATGAGTTTCAGTTTCACGATCACGGGTCACGTGACGATGATCGGAGCAGTAAAAGAGATGATTCTCTGTCTTCCAAGACACTCAGCAAGAATACGACGACGTCTTTTAAAGATTTCGATAGGTTGCTGTACGAGTTTCCTCGCACGGAGGATCTTCCGTGGCTTGTAAGCCGATGAAATAGACATCGCGGCTCCTTTTGAATACTGTCTTGTGTTCAAACGAAGCAAAGGCTACTGCACGAGACGATGTATTAATGTTGCAGTTGTTTTTCCCAGAAAGGAATTAATGAAAAAGATTTTCCTCTCTCTCAAAATTTTTCTTCGTATGATATATTTGGTTGTTAATTTTGAAAGGAATGCTGCTGCACAAGTTGTTCATGGAATGGGGACAAGCAAGCTATCCACTGGAATCTGGATAACCGAGTACGCTATTGTCCTGCCCCGTCTTAAGTGTGGCTCATTTCTAGCCTCATAGTTGGGGTAATATACTTGCAGCAAACAGCCAAACACCGAGCTGAGTGTATACTTCTTTTCCTTCAAAAATATAAACAATTTTTGTAGACAAATTGGTGTGTGTGTATATCAATAAAATCATCATTTTTATAAAAATATATATTATTTTTTATTAAGTGTGAGATATATTTATATAAATATTTAAATTAATAAATACAAGAGATAAAATAAAAAAATTATATATATTAACTTGTTTATATTTTAAATTAAAATTAGTTGAAAGAAAATGCTTCTATTTTAGACTTGAGGAGTTTATGTATATAGCATTATGTTATTGGGATTTTGACTTAAAATTATCATGATTCATTTTTCATGAAATTCAATCTGCAGTTATACTTTTCATAGGGAAATTTGAATGTTAAAATTTAATTTGAATTACTAGCATTGATAACTAATATATATATATATATATATATCTTATAATTAGTGTTACAATTAAAAATAAAAAAAAAGGAGTAATGAACCGTTGCCTCACAAATAAAGTCGTGGATCTAACTGTCGGTATAATGCCACGTCACTCCACTCAAAGATCCCCCACTTGCCACAAAGGTCGCTGCTCTTTCACAAGTCAAAGTCTTTGTCTCTATTGCTGGCAACTTTGACCAACCAAATGGTCCAATTTTGGTGTTGAATTTTTTTGTTGGACCGACGCTGGTTTGTAACCACTAGCCAGCGCTGCCATCCTCATAATTACATTACAATGAATATATAGAAGATTATCCAATTTATATTTGATGCCAAGTTTGATTTTGACTATCCAGATTCATTTTTAATAGTAATTTTTATTTCTTGTTCATAAAAACCGTCCTTTTCACTTTTTGAATGGCCCAATTTACCCTTTTCTTCGTCCCAAATTACCAAGCTAGTCCGTTACACTCGCGGGATATCTGACAGTTCAACAACTCCTCTGCCACGTCATCGATCCTGAACAGTATTTAGACTGCAATTATTTGACAACTCGAAGCTCAATTGATGATTTTTGGCCTAAAATTCGGGGCATAGCAGTTTTTTGTCTACAAGGTCAACGACAGGGTATAAGCTGTTTGTTTTTAATAATTGTTTCTCAAAAAAATAAGATTTTTTAACAAAATTTTATCAAAATAAAAACATAACAAGCTTTTTGTTTGAACAAAAATGGGAGTGTTAGGCTGAATTATAAAGATTCTCAAAGCCCAAACCAAAATTAAAAAAAAAAACTAGCCTAATTGTGATCCAGCTTTGCAAAAATAAGTAAGATGGTGCATTTTTTATGAAAGGTTTAATAGGGTTGTGCCCATTCCTCTCACTATTCGAGATTCTCAGCTCTTCTACATCCATTACTTTGCATAATGGAGCTCTTCCGAAGAGTTGGAGGTGTGTACAATTATTTACTTTTAATGATGCCAACATCAAAATTCAAAAGGAGCATATCGTTGTCATTTTGCTATAAATAGGCAAAAAATAAAATTGAAGGACACTCAACATTCTGCCAAATTTATATTACACTTACCCAGCACGATTACTCAATTTCTAACTTTGTGTTGTCTTCAACCTCACTTTGCACAACTAACTTTTTGTATGTAAAAACTTAGTTTCTTAGGCTAGTTTCCCGAGCTTGTTTACTTCTTTGTATTCACGAAACTCTTCATTATATTTACCTTTTTATTTCAAGTAATACCATCAAGCTTCTATGCTCTTTTATGGTGAATCCATTATTATTCTTACAAAACTTAACTCTTTAAGAAAATTATGGTAAAGGATCTTAAAAACTCATTTCAATCGCTTGATAATGGCTTACACTCTTTTGAGAACATACTCCTCGAATACAGTTAGCACACGTGAACACCCAAAAGAGTCACAACTCTTTTGACCCTTACACCAAAAATTGGGCCAACACTTTCAAATGACAATTGAAACAGTTTTTTTTTATTTAATGAAAGAAAATTTAGATGATTTGGGTTCTAAACTTATATCAATAGCGTAATTTGATCATATGATCTTATTGATTATAAATCAAATTCTTATTAATTAAATTAATTTTTATTGTTAGTTATTTATTTTCTTTTTAATCCAGCTGCTGGGGATCAAGCAAGCATCATAATGATCAATAATAATAATAATAATAATATTCAAGAATATGAGTGGAAAAGTTTTGCGTTGTCCAGTATCTAACAAAATGGGCCTCAAAAGCCTGCTTTACCTCACAAGAAAGGAAGCCGAGAATAGTGCTCCAAGGAAGTAATGGGATAAAAGACCCTCAGGCATCGCAATAAAAGCCCCAATGCTTCTTGAGATTATTTTTTCTTAAATGTATATGCACACATATATTTTAGAAAGAAACAGGCAGGGTGGGTTTTAGATGGACTCACACTCATAATCTTAGTTATCCCAAAATTAATAATTTTTTAAAATCTAACTTTCATTAAAAAAGCTTAAGATTGACTCGTAAGTTCTTTTTAATTTTTTTTAAATTTTTAAAAATTAAAACTTTCGATTATAAGATTTTTATATTTTTTAAATATAAATTATAATGTTTAAAAATTAAAAATAAATAATAAAAATTATA